GTAAAATGAGTCACGGAAAAACAAAGTGCTGGGCTGTCTCTATTTTCATTCTGCTTTAGGGAATTTTCTTTGAAAGTCTTGGGGAAAGCGGCAGTGTCTCAGACAACACCTGACAAGGACGGACACCCCAAATGCTTGCCTGATGCAAGTGGACTTTTCCTCCATTACTTACAGGAAAGGATGAGTGCATGTGGCCCATCGTCTCACTCCCAGTCCAGGCTCAGTTCAATGGTGGTCATGACCATCTCCCAGACCTGGTTTTCCATTACCACTTTTCTCCCTGTCGTTTGTTTTTCATATGCTAAGTGGGTCACTCTGAGGTGACGGTTTTAAGATATTTACAAAATACTTCCCACTGGTATTTTCATAACCTTTCCTGAGACAAGGACGGTCTTTTGGTTGGTAATATTGAGGAAGGGGAGCTCCAGACTACTAGACCATTGAGGAAGGAGGAATATGATGAAGAATAACGGAACAATGTTTTCATGAACCACCCCTCTCCTCCAAAACCATAAAAGTGACAGTATTGAATGCTTAGAATTGGATCGGCAACTTTGACTCTTGCGATCTCTTCTCTCCAATTTCTGCCTTGCAATCACACCAAGTAATTATAGGAATCCTCATTCTGATTAAATCTTTAGTTTTTTCATCCACAGAGAAGACAGCTAGGCAGGATCAGTAGGAAAGAGGAGGAAAAGTGAAAGCCTGTTTTTAATCTGAATTAAAGAATGGAATTGTGGATCCTTCCCCCTAACAGGTGAACAAGGATATTGTGTCAGGCCTGAAGTATGTCCAGCACACCTACCGGACTGGGCTGAAAGGTAAGGAATCCAGACTTTATACTATCTCAATCTGCTTCTCTCTGATTATTAACAAATTTTAGTAAATAGACTCTTAGAAGAATCTGAGAAAAGCTGTGGAGGCCCGCCCTATGAAAAGGCACACAATACCTCTGACCTAGGCATTATTGGCAAGGTCAACATTGGGGATATCTCGTTTAGATAGGGTCAGCCATTGACCTTCAACACTCAGCCTCTGGAATTCAGCTCCATTATTCATATGGGAAAAGTAACCAAATTATGTTTGCATGAGATAAAGGACATAAAAATACTCACAAAAGTAAAATAGAAAATCCTAGGTGAAAAACTCAAGTGTCAGAGAAATGCAAGGCAGAAAAGGCCTATGTGTGTTGGGAGGAGGATCGTGGAAGGCAGTGTTCAATTTTCTTTTTTTTTCTTTTTTTTTATTGGTTGTTCAAAACATTACAAAGCTCATGATAATCATCTTTCATACATTTGATTCAAGTGGGTTATGAACTCCCATTTTTACCCCAAATACAAATTGCAGAATAACATCGGTTACACACTCACATTTTTACATAATGGCATATTAGTGACTGTTGTATTCTGCTACCTTTCCTATCCCCTATTAACCCCCCCCCCTCCCCTCCCATCTTCCCTCTCTACCTCATCTGCTGTTGTTCAATTCTCTCCCTTGTTTCCCCTCACTTTCCCCTCCCAACCTCTTATATGTAATTTTGTGTAACATTGAGGGTCTTCTACCATTTCCATATGATTTCCCTTCTCTCTCCCTTTCTCTCCCCCCACTCGTCTTACTCGTCTGCCAATCTTACTTAATGTTAATCTTTTCCTCATGTTCTTCCTCCCTGTTCTGTTCTTAGTTGCTCTCTTTATATCAAAGAAGACATTTGGCATTTGTTTTTTAAGGATTGGCTAGCTTTGCTTAGCATAATCTGCCCTAGTGCCATCCATTTCCCTGCAAATTCCATGATTTTGTCATTTTTTAGTGCTACGTAATACTCCATTGTGTATAAATGCCACATTTTTTTTTATCCATTCATCTATTGAAGGGCATCTAGGTTGGTTCCACAGTCTAGTTATTGTGAATTGTGCCGCTATGATCATTGATGTGGCAGTATCCCTATAGTACGCTCTTTTAAGATCCTCAGGGAATAGTCCGAGAAGGGCGATTGCTGGGTCAAATGGTGGATCCATTCCCAGCTTTCCCAGGAATCTCCATACTGCTTTCCAAATTGGCCTCACCAATTTGCAGTCCCACCAGTAATGTACAAGTGTACCCTTTTCCCCACATCCTCGCCAGCACTTGTTGTTTGACTTCAGAATGGCTGCCAATCTTACTGGAGTGAGATGGTATCTTAGGGTGGTTTTGATTTGCATTTCTCTGATTGCTAGAGATGGTGAGCATTTTTTCATGTACTTGTTGATTGATTGTATGTCCTCCTCTGAGAAGTGTCTGTTCAGGTCCTTGGCCCATTTGTTGATTGGGTTATTTGTTATCTTATTGTCTAATTTTTTGAGTTCTTTGTATACTCTGGATATTAGGGCTCTATCTGAAGTGTGAGAGGTAAAAATTTGTTCCCAGGATGTAGGCTCCCTATTTACCTCTCTTATTGTTTCTCTTGCTGAGAAAAAACTTTTTAAGTAAGTCAATCTTTATAGGGTTGAGAAAAGCTATCTAAGTGAAAAAAATAGTATAACCATGTTATTTATTCTGTTGTTATTCTTGACATGCATCAGGAACTCGCCTTCAGTTTTCTTTGATTAATATGGGTTCAGAGGAAAAGATGGGAAAGTGACAGAAGCACTTTCACAGTTCCTTTCTGCTCCAGACTCTCTTCCCCACAGGGGGGGAAACAGTACTGCACAGGCTAATCCCACAAATTAACAAACAATGGAGCAGGAAGACGTGGATAAATTCACTTGACAGCAGAACCGATCAATTACTCAAATCCCAGAGAAAACTGTTGACCAGTAAGAGACTAATTGGACTTTCCTACTCCTGATTTCATGAATGAATAGTTCAATTTCCTATTCCCTTTTAGCATAGAAAACCCTGTTAATTCACTTTGGCAAGAGGAAGATTATGTGTCTGTAGCTGTTCCTGCAAATATATTAACGCTTAAAGGGCCAGTTATATAGTACCTGTGAAGCTCCTTACCTTTATTCATACTTTCTAATCCAGTTATTCACCCATAAATAAATTTGTTTAGCTATTTTCATCATTTTCCACAATGCTTTATTTTTTACCAACTTGCTGATTTTTTTCCTTCCATCCAATTATTGCATCCATGAATTCTGCCTATTCTGATCACCATCTGTTGTAATGTCTCCTCCAGTTAATATGTTCATAGAATGATAGCTTGTAGACAACAGTCCTTAAAGTTTGTCATATAGAGAAATAGAGGCCCAAAACATTACGTGACACAGGTAGTTGCAATGCTGAGACCAGACCTGAGGCATCAACTTGTTAAAATTTTTCAAATGGTATAATCTGCTACATAAAAAGAGCCTGGATTCCCAAATTTCCTGATAATCAGGAAATGAGCCGTGATGCTTTTATCAAACACTGATTCTTGGGACCCACAGCAGGTTGCTGAACCACAGTCCTTGGGAGAGAGACAAAGGAAACTGTTATTGAAAGTCCCTTTATTATAAAAAAAAGAAAAACAAGATGCTCCAGGTAAAACTGACATTCAGCCAGGCTTGGAAACTATCGTTTTCTTGGCTTCCTCTAATAGAGGCTCTGCACCAAGTTCCCTAATTTGCAGTGTGTGTTTCTCCTCTAACAGACTCTTACCCTCATGAACTTCTCTTTCTTCCTAGTGGATAAAGCAACCTTTATGGTTGGCAGCTATGGGCCTCGGCCAGAGGAGTATGAATTCCTCACCCCGACTGAGGAGGCTCCCAAGGGCATGCTGGCCAGGGGCACATACCACAACAAGTCCTTCTTCACCGACGACGACAAGCAAGACCACCTCACCTGGGAGTGGAACCTGTCCATTAAGAAGGATTGGACAGAATGAGTGCATCTGCCCATCCAACTTCCCCTTGCCACCCAGAACCCTCCTAGTCACAAGGGTACCCTGTCCCTCCTCCCTCCTGTCCACAGCTAGATTCCCTCTCCCACATCACCCACATTTCCACAGGGACGAACCTCATCCCACCCTTGCCCTTGTGGCTTCATACTCAGGCTTACCCTGCCTGCTTCCTCTGACCCCCCAGTCAGAGCCCGTTCTTTCAAGTTCTCCATCCCCTTTAATGTTTCCCTCTCTTCTTCCTGTCCGAGCAACCAGAGGCCAGGAAATTGGCAAACTACCATGAACAGTCCTTTTGCCTTAGGTTTAGTAGCTCATTCCAATTCCTGGATTCTTTGGTGGTTGCTGCTGGCTCCATGCCCTGTCACATGCCCTGCCAGTTGGGGTTCTTCTTTTGTGGGAGATACTACTGTAAACAACACAAGAGAGTAAGAATAAAACAACTACTTTTTGTTCTGACTGAGACCCTCATTTCCCTGATTTCTTCTATCAAACAAATATGGTAAACCAAAGGGTTCCCATTCCAGTTTTCCTGAGGAATGGGGTTGGGGGTCCACAGTTCTGGGAGTATTTACATCCTTGGGAATGGATTGCTATAGTACATTGGGTAATGAGCGTTCAGAATACAGATGGTGAAAACTCTGAATCTGAGTTCTTTCATAATTATTTACTTATGGGAGTTTCTCCTAAGCTTGAGACCTATATATCACAAGGCCTGTGGAAATTTTATCTTGGATTTCCCATAGGCACTTGTGGGCCAAACCAAACATAGTTTCTCTCATGCTTAGGACTTTTCAGTAGGTTCCCGTCACCTACAAAAATGAAGCCAATACTCGGGTGCTTTGCTTATCGTAGAAAGAATTATTGCCAGCATGTCCCAGCATGCCTTTCTGCCCACAATTATTTTTCCCTTCCTGAAATTCTACATGACTAATCATTCTCTTGTGTTGCTGGTAAAAATCTTACTTAACCAGGGTACCTATGGATTTTTCTACTTTTTATCACTTTCTATTTTATATTTAAACGATCTGCTTATGTGTCCATCTCTCCCATGAACAACCTCAGCTGGGAAGGCTTGGGTGGATCCATAGTTATCTTTGTGTTCTTAGTGCTTAGGTCAATACTTGGCGGAGAGTACATAACCTTTTTTATTCAAATGAACCTGTCAGACTCTGATTGGTTGTATTCTGAGGCCCTGTCACTAAACATGGTCATTTATCCCAGAAGTTGAAGGTTCCCCTAGAGCCAGCTGCAAAGTTCCCAAAGCACAGGAAGTTAACCACAGAGTGGGCTGCCCCGAATGGGCATCCCCAAATACAGAGTCCAGGGTTGGAGCAGGAGAGGAACAATGGAAGCCAGCTGCTCCAGATGCCTGTTACTCTTATTTCTCCTCACGTGTGAACTGGCCCCAGAAGTTGCTGGAGAAGTTGAAGAGTCCTCAGGTAAAATGGAAAGCGCTTGCATGACCATAAGGGAAAAATTCTAGAAGGGAGGGGAGTGTGATAGCTCTCTGGGTACTTTCCTTCTAAACCTGGAAAATTTTTCCAAAAATATGCTGGATAAAGATGATAAAGATGTGTGTTGCCTTGCAAAGAGAAGTTTAACAGAATCCTTCAGAGAGTGACCATAAGGGGAAGTCACTTCCATATGTTAGACTTTTTTTAAAAGCCTTGGAATGGTAACAGCTTTCCAAGAAATTAAAATCTCCTTGGCCTTAGATGAGTTGCAATTACAAAGCTGCTTCTTTACCTCAGAATCCAGACATCTTTTGCTTCTCTCTCCAGATGGTCCTGGTACTGCCCAGGGACCTATATGGCTCACAGATGTCCCAACTGCTGAGGAATTCATCTCTGCTGCTGAGGTGGCCATCGTAGGCTTCTTCCAGGTTTGTCCACATATTGCTCTTGCTGTGTCCCCATGAGCCAGGCAACTTTTTCCTCCAGGGAGCCATGGTGGTGGCCTCTTGTCCAGATGACAATGCCTTAGAAGTAGTGGGGCCCAGAATCGGCTTATCAATTCGGACTTTTTAATTTTACAGTATTCAGACTTTTTAATTTTACAGTATTCAGACTTTTTAATTTTACAGTATTCTCAGTCTCCACATTAGGTCTCTCTCATTACTTGCTTCAAAGAGTTCTGAGTCTGTTGGTTGGATCTCCTTGTCCCCAGATACTTGGAAACTAAGTTAGTATCTGCAGGAAGAAAACCTGAAGCAAACCCTGCTCTTGTTCTAAATGCCCTTGTCTATTCTCTCATAGAAACAGGCAGAAGCAAGCATAAACCTTTTATGATACAGGCGACACTTTCTCTATGTGTGCCAAAGCTCCAAAGTGTTAGCTACCTCTGTCTAAAATCTTTCCCTTGGTAGACCCTCATTCTTCCTTGTCTCTGCCTTCTCTGAAATATTGAAAAATGATGACTTTGATATATTGAAGGTATTAACCTCCATCTTCCAGATTGGCTGCTTGACCAACCAAAGCAGCCAGTAATGAGAGGGCATCTTTCCAGCAATCTCCTTCATCCCTGGTGGCGGCATCTGGCAATTCCCACAGCTGATCCCGCCCCAACTCTCCTCACTACAGACCTTCTTGCCTATTTCCACTCGTTGATCCCAACTCAGGGTTACCCTGTCCGTGGTGTACACAGCCGGGAGCAGCTGTGAGGAGATGCATTGTGGAGGGAAGACAAGGAGCAGTTTCCAGTAGTGAGAGAGACGTAGACAGAAACAGCCACCCTCAGAAAGATAGAAAGAGTGTGCAATGACTTAAACAGCCACCAGAGGCCATCATTGGATCCTTGAGCAATTCCATCGGAAAGAGCAGATCACAAAAGAGGAAGAAGCCTGGGTGAACAAGTGTTCACACTCTCTACCAAACTCTAGTTGGCCTTTCAGAAGAGCAAGCTACCAACTTCCTGTACTCGAACCCAAATGCTAAGTTAGCCATCTTCTTTCTCCTTGCATATCACCTTCAGCCAAGGGAGATGCAGGGTAGAACACACTCATACCTGTTCATCACCTGGAGCTGCTATGGGCAAACGTTGTGTGGCAGCAGGGACATGATGCCCATTTCAGCACTCAGAAGTGACCTCCCTGCTCCCTGACCCCTGGGTTGCCGAGCTGGACACGTGAAAGGTATCTTCGTGCACAAAGCTCAGGAAAGCACACAGCTTCATGCTCAGGAAAGAGGTTTGAAAAGAGGGACCTGTTGTCCCATATCCTACACAAACCATTCTTAATGAAATTTCTAAGCTTCCATTCTCATTTCTTTTACTCATTCTTTTCTTGGCCCCTTTGATAGCACCTAATTCTTATTTTTGCATTTCCTCTTTTCTCCACAAATAGTCTCCAAAACATTTGTCTCCTCAAGCAATCAATGTCAATATAGCCCAATTCCACAGGCCTCTGATTTTGAAGCCTCTTGACTACTAATAAACTTCAGCTCTATGATAAGGCCAGACAAAAATCCCAGGCTTAGCCACAATTTTAGTAGTAACCTATTAATTGCCATCTCCTGGAAAACTCAAAATGCCACTGCAAATTAAGCCTATGTTCTAGAGGATAATTTTTTTCACTAAACACTAAATTAATTCTATGACTTCTGGTTTGAGTGAGCATATTACTTCTCTATTCTTTTTCTCTCTCCTTCAAAAATAATCCCTATGCATTATTTTTCCTCTTGTTTTTAGGATCTGGAAATACCAGTAGTGTCTGTATTCCATAGCATGGTGCAAAAATTCCAAGATGTGTCATTTGGAATCAGCAATAACTCTGAGGTCCTGGCCCACTACAACATCACCAGGAACTCCATTTCCCTCTTTCGTCTGGTAAGTTGGGTGGACAACCTAAGCCTCCTCCCAAGTTTTGTTCAGGTTGTGGACTCATAAACTTGTGGGACTGGAAAAAACTCTATGTCTTTAACACTAATGCTGGTGCCAGATTCAGGGACATTGTTGACAAGGATAGTGACTCAACCAAGAGTTGCCAAACAGGTGCTGTGATGAAGTGGAAAGAAGACTCAAGTGAGAATTGGGAAACAGGATTCTGAAGAGCTGCTTGGTGGCTCACCGGCCACCAGATGCTGGGCGACTCACTTAGCACTTTTAGCTTCAATTATTTCATCTATAAATTAAAAGGAGAAAAATCTTTGCTTTCATAGATCTGAAAGTATAGATTATAACCAATACTCAAGTATCCAATGTAAACAGTGTGACTATAAAGTGTTACAAGCTTCAAGGGACAAAAACTGGGAATTCTGGAAAAAATAAATATGAAGAACAGCACTGGACTGGAATGTCAAGGAGAGATAAAAACCCATATGGCCAAGGGGGAAATAATCGAATTCAATTAGAAATCAATGACCAGGCCAATTTGACTGGATTCCAGGGTACATGTTAGGCAGAAAGTAATACAAAATAGAGAAGACCGTTTAAACACATACTGTGGAGAAATTAGAACACCATTTAATTTGGTTATACTAAATTTGGTTGGCACCGTAAAGCCCCAAGACGTTTAGATCATAGGAGTAACATGAACAGGAATGTGTTTTAGCAAGATTGTTATAGAAATGATGGGTGGGATGAATCGGTAGGCATAAAAAGAGAGCGATTTGGGTAGGTATTAAGGGTCTGTAGAGAGGTCAAAATTAAAGAAAAGCATATTGATGTCTAGATAATGAGATTAAGTAAATGATCAGCAAATAATAGACATCAAAATTACAGAAAGATGATAAAGTGCAAAGCCAGGGTGTCCAGGAATAGTGAGAGCATATGCAGAAATAGGGATTATTACTGCTTTAGTTGGTTGTTGATTTTTAATACCTGGTGAAATGTCAAAGTAAAGATGTCAAGAGTATGCTGAAAATGAGAACAAGAGCCCAGGATAGAGCTTTCAAGATTTCTGAACCCAATGCCCTTCTCTCCCTGTGGCTGCCATCTTTTCTTTCTCATGGCCACTTCTCATTCAAACTTCCTTTAAGAGTATGTTATACTCCATGTCTCAGACTTCCTTTCAGCTGGGCACTGTTGTGTAGTATATGCCCCATGGCTCCATGAAAGCTATATTCACCCAGGTCAGCCCAGCCAGCCTCTGTGTGGCCAAGCAAAAATGCTTTTTCAGTCTTATTTTGCTCAACATTTCTGCCATATAGAGAGTGTTGGTTGACGGTGTCTTCAGTGTTCTCTCCTTTCTTGACTTCTAAGAGCCCACTTCTCTTAGTCTTCCTGAGCCCTCTCTTCCTCTACCTATACTACTTCTTGACCCAATGCTCTTCTCAGTCTAGGTTATGGAATCTGTGCTCAGTGAAGGCAAGAGACGGTCTGTTCATTTCTGAATCCACAGAGCCTAAAAGAGTGTCTGCCTTGTGGCAGCACTGGGAGCTCGTGAGATATTTGCAGAGAATGAGCATAGGAGTGAATAGATTAATGAATGTCTATGTTCTCCTTAAGCAAACTAATTCATATTTGACCATGATGTGTTTGCGGAGGATTTGGGACATTTTAACTATGACATGGACTTCTCTCATGATTCAAATGCTCGTTGAAGATAACCATTTTATACCATCCTAAGCACTATACTCTTGACATGCTCAAAATTGAATTTATTGTCTGCACCTGCTAAATCATTTCCCCCCATCTAATACACTATTTTATTGAATGATTATGTTCATTCACTTTCTCTCTTTTGCCAATTGTACCTCCTATCTTGAATCTATATTACTCCACTCTTCCTACTTCGTTCCCATTTAGGCTCCAAGCATCATTTTCATTGTGATTGTAATTGCTTCTTAACTGATCACCTTTTACTGCTTCATATCCGTTTTCAAGACTGGTACCACTATGGCATATTTAAGATGGAAATTTGACCAAGGCATTCCTCTCTTAAAACTTCTTCAACATTTCCCACTTTTTGCAAGATATTCAATGTTACCTATGGCCTCTTGTGACAGAGCCACCACCTGCTTTTCTAGTCCCTTTTCTAGCAGTTTTCTACCCTGGCATTTATTCTCTCAGTCCCCAACTATACACATGATGATTATCCAGTCCCCTCTGCCCAGAATGTTTCTAGCTCAAGGACTCCCTTTCCCGGACCTCACCCTGCTGACTCCTCCTCATACTTCAGGTTAATCAGTTCAGGCATACTGTCCTTCAGAGAGCCTCTCTGGAATCCCCAAATCAGCCTAAGCATTCCTCTGTATATCCATGTCTCTATTTCCATTTATCCCTCTATGTCTCATCTTTGTATTCCACATCCACAGCCCTGTAACACCTAAAAGGTACCAAGAAGCATTTGAGAAACCAAACTCACCTCCCAAAGTATGTCTGAGGCTACAAGAGCACCTTTGAGCCACTTTTCCACTTGCACGATAGTTGCTAGTCTATA